CGTCTCGCCTTCTTCCTCTCGTGCCTCGAATGCGTTGCTTATTTCCGCGAAGCGTAAAAGAAACGTTGGAAACTTTCTTCGTTTATTATACAGTTCGCATCGGCCCCCTTTGAACCCTATTAACTTCTAACGCCGACAGCGTGCCACTCGAGCACGGCGGATTCCTGCGCTAAAGGAACGAAGTATTGTGATTTGCAGTTGAATGTCGTCTAATTTCGTGTATCGTTAACAACGCTATCTTCTAAATCTCATCTAACAGTTTCGCTTTCGAATCAATCGTGTGTTACATAATCATGGAAAGCCCGAACATCCGAGTTACTGTAAGCTCTAGTCGATGAAATATTCGAGTAAACGGAGTTAATACAATAACGGGGGAATTTTAGCCGTAAAGTTGTGACGAAAGACAGTTGCAATTGTCAAATCGAGAAGAAGTCACGGAAAAACGGTTGCCCGACCACGTTTACGTATCTATCTTCGACACCACGTGGTACGTGTAGTACTTTGCATCTCGTGTCTCGAGTCTCGTGTTTCTCGCGTGTTCAACCACGATGTTTCCTACGATAAAAAGCGGAATAACGAGAAAATACGAAAAGGAGCGGGACAAAAAGAGACTGAGCTTGCCCACGTTTGCGCAGATACGGTTAAACACTTATTTTTCACGCGTTCGAATACAACCGAAAGATTCCCTGTCGGTATGGCTGTGAACCCCGTGGTGCGATTCCAATGGAAGGACACACGAATCGCTTGACGTCGATTTGACACGTGTTCTCGGAAATCGAAGAAAACTTTTACTCGGAACACGTGGAGGAAATCTGTTGCACAGGAGTGAAACGAATCGCGAATTAACAGCAGAACCATCGAGTAGTCGAATTGACTTTCTTTAATTCTTTTTATAGAGACTTTCAGCGTGTGTCCATTGAGGTCTCGATTAATTTATAATTAGATCGGGGATCTTGCAAGTTCAGATTCTTCGGGATATGCTTGAATCGCGATGGAAAATAGTTTTTAAAAAGGAAAGGAATATTTAAAGAAGCATTACGTCTCGAATATTTTTTAAAAAAACTATCACGCTAAAGACGGCAATGCGTCACGATATTATTTTGATTGTCCACGTTGCATCAGTTCCCATTCCAGAATAACCGACGGTTTTCGAAATTTCGCTATTGGAGTAAACTCGACTAAGTGACACATGTAAAATTCGCGTGGCCACATATGTGCAGATATTTACGTCTAACGTACGTAATCGATGTATTCAATGCAAAATACGCGAGGCGTTGCATACGCAAATAGATGCCACGGAGGTTAATCGTGTCGGACTTCTTTCATTTTTTTTTTTCTACCTTTTTGTTATATCTATATAACGCCGATGCGTTCACAAAAAGCTCAAGGAGACCGTTAAATTCAGATTTCTCGAGCGGTCGCTTTCCCCTTTTCTGCCCAATGAAAATCGCTAGCGGTGCAAAGGTGTCAAAGCGGCGACTGAAATAAGTTCAGTCGCAACCATGGAAATGTTTATAAATCTACTAAATAATCATTTCCGATCGATTCGAAAATAACATTCCACTATTACGCGAAACCGATAAAAACAAAGAAACCATCGAAGTATACGAACGTGTTCGTATTACGACGCAACTCACAATTGTGATACAAAGCAAAGAAACGTCATAGGCAGGGATGAGTTGTGGTTCGTAGGTCGTAGATCAGAAGTTGTGGGTCGACGACGAAAAGTATAAAAATCGAGAGTCTTCGTAGTATTTTCAATCATGGCGAGGACGCTACTAATTAACGTCCGTTGCGCTACGCTGATCTTTTGGAAATCATCCAAACGTGTTACGGGTCACCGACTGTCGGGCTAGCAAGGTGTACTTTTACGGATGGTAAATACATTTGGCGTGATTGAGCAGAGATCCTCCTACGAACGGTTCTTATTCTTCATTAGCGGTTCGAAAATAGGAGATTCTTGGATACGACGATCGTGTTATAAATATACAATGTTAACCTGGCAATCCATTGTAGTAAAAATTACTGAATCATTGGAAGACGGTAACGTTCGCGCCTCCTTGAAGATCGTATCGATTCGATTAACAAAGCAAGGTGAAGATTATTTGTCGGATAAGAGGCGCTGTTAGAGTATAGACGATGCACTCGTAAACTTGCTGGCAGCTCATTATATATTTAGCTCAATGGAGGAAGTGTACCGACCATAGCTAAGGTAACATCGCCGTGTTCTTTTGTCTGGTTACCCGTGTTCGTTTCATCGTGTCGATAATGTTACGTACAGTTCTTTGCATTGCTGTACGATGCTTCTATCGCATTCGACGTCGCTGCAATCACCGCCGTGACACATAGTTTTCGTCTAGTCGCGACGAGCTTGGTACCTAATTTTGTACCGTCGGGTTACTGGACCTTACGTAACTACAAACTCAAGTGCTAAGATTAGTCGACAGTACGAACTAACCAGAACCGCCGATTTATTCTTCAAAGATATAATTTTACAATAAGATTAAAGCTTTTTGTCGTCGCTGTCGTTGTCGTTGTCGTCGTCATCGTCGTCGTCGTCGTTGTTATCGTTGCATTACTGAAGGAATCGAAGTATAATCGAATGAAATAATGAATTTAGGATGAATCACGGGTGTAATATACATAATCCTCCCACGAGGCGAGTTATTCTCGAAGAATAACGACAAATATAGCCGACTCGAATATATTTGAATAAAAACTATAACTAATTCGACAATTCGATGGGTTCTCAGTTTCATCTTATCTCTCTACGGTTGTTGTAGTTCTATCTTCGTTTGTAATATTCTTCGCCGATGTACTCGTTGAATAGTCGATAATTGTTTTGCTGTGTACGAACAGGGGGGAAACATTCCGCGCTAAGCGGAAAAATATGTGTCGTTAATAGTGACTTCGCAAGGTTATAACACGCATACGTACCTATTACTTTAAAAACTACTCGAGACACATAAATGAATTTCAATGTTCCATATGAGTGCGTAAATGTACACGTATTTTAAGATCATTATTGCTGTTTCAGCGAGAGAACGTTTCCCTTCGTCGAGTAGCACGGACGACGACCAAAGCGGATCCGACACGGAACAGGATTCGAACACGCTGCGCGGTAAAGTTCATTCTGGAGTCCTTCACCACTCGAGTACGCATTCTGTAAGAAAACGCCGAGGTAACTTACCAAAGCACTCGGTAAAAATTCTGAAGCGATGGCTTTACGAACACAGATACAATGCTTATCCGAGCGACAGCGAGAAGTTGACGTTGAGTCAAGAAGCAAATCTCACGGTGTTGCAGGTCAGTAGTATTGTTACCGAATGCCTTCTTCGAATCATCGTCGTCACTTTGTGTTGATCGGTACAGCGTGTTCCCCGAAGATCGACGGGCACAGTGTACACACTTGATATTTCTCGAATAATTACCGAACGTTTCTACCGTAGGTGTGCAATTGGTTCATAAACGCTAGGCGACGAATCTTACCTGAAATGATACGAAGGGAGGGACACGACCCTCTCCAGTACACGATCTCACGTCGTGGGAAAAAAATGCCTGCCGGCAGTCATCAGCAGTCGTCCAATCTTGGCTCGAGAAACAATCAAAATTGGGATGCGTTGGCTGGTATGAGTGCACCGAAACGTAGCAGGGATCACGACTACGAAGATCCTGCTGGATTAATGTATCGGTTCGTGGCAATTATTTATTGCAACGGTGAAATTGACGATTAAAGTAGCATTTCAATGGTAATTGATTTCTTTCTCTTTTAGGAGCGAGGAGGACAGCCCGAACGATTACGAGAGTAGTTCTCATAGCGAAGAAGAACGTCCAACGACACAGTGGCCTAGCGTAATAGTTTATCCTTACTCGGAGACGAAAATCGAGCAGAACGTTGCTCAACTTGGTGCTTACGAGGAAACGATCACCCATCCTGCGCGACGAGGGTACAATTTATTGAGAGTGCGCCAAATGGCTATCACTCGGTTTCACTTGATTTCATTTTCATTGCTGTACGACGATCAGCTAAATGAAACCGGGGTTCTTTCGCTTTTTCCAGAGACGACGATGAATCTTCGATGAGAAACGAAGCGCCGTATTGGAGCGCGCCCAGACAACATCTTATTCAAACTCCTGACGTGCAGCATGAAACGGAAGTATACAGCACGCATAATGCTCATAGTCCACATACGGATGAGACTCCGCCGCCGACACCGCCAGAGGAAGATAAAGACAAGTTTAAGTGTCTTTACTTACTGGTCGAAGCAGCTGTCGCTGTACGACAGCAGGAAAAGGAACGCGAGGGAGCCGTGCCGGTTTAACGAGAGCAGAGCACATCGATATTGCTGCTCGTGTTGTCATTCGTATCGACAATTTTTTATCTTCCAGTTCCATCATCCTACGGAGTGGGTATACACAGCATACTTTTGTCGCTTTGTCAACGCGTACACGACAATTTTTCGAGTTTCGTCCGAGATGACAGTCTTTCCGGTGTTCCTCTGTTGATGATCGGCCACACGCATTTTCGAAATACATGTGTCTATCGGGTAGAAAACTGATCGTGATCCGCGGCGATCGTTGCCTTAACTTTTACGACACGAGTTTCTACTTGCAATGCGGCCGAAGGAAATATCTCAAGAAAGACTCTCTCGAGGCTCGAAGAATAACTAGAGATAATCTACGAAAGATAACCAAACGTTTTCTCAACTCTTACATAACGGTGTTCTCGAAATGTGTTGTGATTTATGGAGGTGTACTCTGCTTAAAATTCGCGTGAACGAGAAATTATTTCAAAGACAATTTGCTGCAATATTTCAGTATTCGAATCGGGCCACCCCCGAAGTTGAAGCTTCCTTTGTAAACCGAGAGTAAATTCAATAATGTAGAAGGAAGGATTGCCAGATTCCTTCCAGAGGCACTAACTGTTATCTACAGGTTTCTGTAAAATTGAATTGTTGAGTACACTCTCTCTCGTGCGAGAATTCCTCGCATGGAACGATCCACGCGACTAATAAGGATGTTTTATTTCCTATTTTGCAACGCTTCTGTCTGTATTTATGCGAGATAAGCGTATTGGATGGACGGCAAACAAGTGCCAAAATTTTACATCGTAGTGACAAATTGAGTGTAACTGAGAAGACATTAATTCAGACATCAGTTTACATGTTCGTAAATCTTTTTTTTTCCGCGCGTCGACTATTTCGTTATATTTCGTAAAATCATCAAGTCGCCATATATTATATAACTTTGGTAACAATGCGAATTTCTGTTTCTTTCGATATTCAGTGGAAGAAAGGGAGAACGACGGGAGAAATAAATCGCATTAAGTATCATTACTACGAACTGAAATGAATTTTCAGAATTCACACGGGACCGTCTGCGTCTGTTGGAAACCTTTATCTTATATGCTGCCATAGCTTTTGGTAGAACATGTGATTGATTCCGTATAATTATTCAGTTTAGGAACACATACAGTGTACATGCTTCGAGTCGATTTCCGATTATATTTTCACGATATCTTTTCAAGGAATTAACATAGGAACTAGCCAAAGAGAACATTGAAAGCATTTCTTGCATCCTGTGTGTTTTTGTCAATTTAGTACTTTTATTTCTGTTACTGTTATCGCTACTACTATTGATACTATTTCTATTACTACTACTTCTGCTGCTGCTGCTGCTGCTCTGCTGCTGCTGCTGCTACTATTATTTCTACTAATACAACTAACACTCATCACCACCATCACCGCTGTTATTATTAACATTAGTAATATTGTTACCAATATTATCAATATTAGTATCAATATTGCTATTAATATTACCATCACGACTAAATACCGCAGCCATGCCGCTGATACTCTTCACTACTGTTACTATTAACCACAAATACGATTGCTGTCGCCAACTGATACTATCGTCATCATTAACATTATTATCATTAGTATTCGGTTCCTCTTCTTTTTCTTTTTGCCAGGATTAGCGAGTAGATGTAGATTATTTACGATTGCGTGTGCTCTCCTGTCCACGTTTCAAGGTAGCACAGTACTTAACGCGATAAGTAGTTACATTACTTGATTTGTTTTTAACACTCTGTCCTTTTCTCTCCGTTTTTTTTTATCGTTACCGTTAAATTACGAACTAATTAACAGCAGTTGGAACCTTTATTGCGTTTACCTTCGCATTTATGTTAGACGTATAAGACTGCTCGAGAAGAGATTCGTTGATTCTTTTGACACGTCCGCGTACGATTGATACATGTCTCTCCCTTTCCTCCCTGATGCGGTTATGAGCTAACGTTGCGACAACGCCACTGATTAGCCATTTTTTTTGATTGCGCGTTAATCGCATTGCTTCCGTGAAGAGAAAAAGAGATCGTTGATTTTTTTTCGATATAGGCGGTATGTGAGACACGTAAGCCAATCGTGTGTGTTAATTATATCTCAAGTATATATAAAGTAAGTCGAATACAAGCGCGCGTGCCTGTTTAAGAGATACGTGTATAGACAATAAGTACGTATACGTATACATATGTATATATATATATGTATATATACATCTATATATAAATATACATATATATATATATATATAGATTTATATGGATACAGTCGAACCGGCGGTTCATACACGGTATATTATACAATTTCGAATATCGAATCTCGATTTTCGAAAGCAGTTCGTTGATTGAAGATCAATATCGTGATGCATGATCACGCATAGAGAAAATCATTGGTACAAACGCCAAAGACTTAACTGTTAGTTCTACTCATCATTAAGTTGTTCAAATATATTCAAAACAGAGGGGTGTCCTCTTTGTCGAAAAACATAGCTAGTAAATGTGTTTGTTGTGTGTTCGAGCGTTTAAAAGGAAAAAAAAGCATTCACTAAAGGTGTAGTTTATGTAGAGGGAGGGGGAATGGAAAAATAACAAACGAAGAGGAAAGAGAGAAGAAATAAGTTTGAGAGAGAGAGAGAGAAAGAGAGAGAAAGGAAGAAGAAGAACGCAGAAAGCGTTGGAACAATCGTGCCTATCGAAACTTTAGGTTACCGCGTTCTTTGTATGTATACTGTGAAAGTGCGAATGCAGACGCGAGCGTGAATCGATGCGAACGTTCAACGTATGTACACTATCAGAGTACCAGTACCTTCGTTGATCATGAATCTACACAAAGTGTATGTGTACGTATTTATACATATCTATATATACACCTTCATACATATATATATATATATGTATATATATACATATACGCACGCGTCGATGCGCGAGCTAGATTTAAACCGTGTTCAAAAGAAACAAAGTTCTTCGATGTACAAAATACGATTCAAGTTTATTTTTAAATCGCGATAATCCTTATGGTTGCCGTTATGGGACCGCCTCGTTAGGAACTTGTTAGGGAATTACTTTGTATTAGGTTAAGAATAGATCTCTCTCCGACGTCAGGTAAGCAGTCCACGAAATACCGATTCTTCTTCGTCGACAGAACTAATCGTTCGCGCGAAGAATCCCGT